TTTGGCTTTTTACAACAAATTAAGAAAGAAATTTTGCCTGATGAACATATACTACATTAAGCGAATGATGCGTCAAAGCCCCTATAGCTCAGTGGTTAGAGCACTGGTCTCGTAAACCAGGGGTCGTGAGTTCGACTCTCACTGGGGGCAGATTTTGCCACCTTTTTACGCAAAACCCCTTGCTTCTTACCAATTTTTGCTCCTATTGCAAGTAACAGTTTTCTCGATTTAATTACAGGTCTGATGCAAGAATGTTAGATGCATATGACAAGTTTATCTATTTTATGGTGAACAGTTGACAAATTGTAGTATCACAGTGATATAGAAATAGATAAAATTCACTACTTCATATTGAAGCGTCGCTGGTGTAGTGGTATCATGCAAGATTCCCATTCTTGCGAACCGGGTTCGATTCCCGGGCGGCGCAATTTTTTGCCACCTTTTACACTCTTTAAAAATTGAAATACTAATAAAGAAAGGATAAGATTTATTTTCTTTTCATGTAGATATTTTGTTTTCCTTGAATGCACCAAGCAGTTAATATGTATATGTATGTTTGATTTCCAATTTATTTATTTAGCTAGGTTGCACTTTCGTTGGTTTTAGCCAAAGCATCATATTATTAATTTTATTGGCTAAATGCATGCTTTCCTTTGAAAAGGAACTGAACAAGATGATTTTTTCTAGTATTCTATCCTGATTTTGGCTTTTTACAACAAATTTAGAAAGAAATTTTGCCTGATGAACATATACTACATTAAGCGAATGATGCGTCAAAGCCCCTATAGCTCAGTGGTTAGAGCACTGGTCTCGTAAACCAGGGGTCGTGAGTTCGACTCTCACTGGGGGCAGATTTTGCCACCTTTTTACGCAAAACCCCTTGCTTCTTACCAATTTTTGCTCCTATTGCAAGTAACAGTTTTCTCGATTTAATTACAGGTCTGATGCAAGAATGTTAGATGCATATGACAAGTTTATCTATTTTATGGTGAACAGTTGACAAATTGTAGTATCACAGTGATATAGAAATAGATAAAATTCACTACTTCATATTGAAGCGCCGCTGGTGTAGTGGTATCATGCAAGATTCCCATTCTTGCGACCCGGGTTCGATTCCCGGGCGGCGCAAATTTTTGCCACCTTTTACACTCTTTAAAAATTGAAACACTAATAAAGAAAGGATAAGATTTATTTTCTTTTCATGTAGATATTTTGTTTTCCTTGAATGCACCAAGCAGTTAATATGTATATGTATGTTTGATTTCCAACTTATTTATTTAGCTAGGTTGCACTTTCGTTGGTTTTAGCCAAAGCATCATATTATTAATTTTATTGGCTAAATGCATGCTTTCCTTTGAAAAGGAACTGAACAAGATGATTTTTTCTAGTATTCTATCCTGATTTTGGCTTTTTACAACAAATTAAGAAAGAAATTTTGCCTGATGAACATATACTACATTAAGCGAATGATGCGTCAAAGCCCCTATAGCTCAGTGGTTAGAGCACTGGTCTCGTAAACCAGGGGTCGTGAGTTCGACTCTCACTGGGGGCAGATTTTGCCACCTTTTTACGCAAAACCCCTTGCTTCTTACCAATTTTTGCTCCTATTGCAAGTAACAGTTTTCTCGATTTAATTACAGGTCTGTTGCAAGAATGTTAGATGCATATGACAAGTTTATCTATTTTATGGTGAACAGTTGACAAATTGTAGTATCACAGTGATATAGAAATAGATAAAATTCATTACTTCATATTGAAGCGCCGCTGGTGTAGTGATATCATGCAAGATTCCCATTCTTGCGACCAGGGTTCGATTCCCGGGCGGCGCAAATTTTTGGCACCTTTTATACTCTTTAAAAATTGAAACACTAATAAAGAAAGGATAAGATTTATTTTCTTTTCATGTAGATATTTTGTTTTCCTTGAATGCACCAAGCAGTTAATATGTATATGTATGTTTGATTTCCAACTTATTTATTTAGCTAGGTTAATTGCACTTTCGTTGGTTTTAGCCAAAGCATCATATTATTAATTTTATTGGCTAAATGCATGCTTTCCTTTGAAAAGGAACTGAACAAGATGATTTTTTCTAGTATTCTATCCTGATTTTGGATTTTTACATCAAATTTAGAAAGAAATTTTGTCTGATGAACATATACTACATTAAGCAAACGATGCGTCAAAGCCCCTATAGCTCAGTGGTTAGAGCACTGGTCTCGTAAACCAGGGGTCGTGAGTTCGACTCTCACTGGGGGCAGATTTTGCCACCTTTTTACGCAAAACCCCTTGCTTCTTACCAATTTTTGCTCCTATTGCAAGTAACAGTTTTCTCGATTTAATTACAGGTCTGTTGCAAGAATGTTAGATGCATATGACAAGTTTATCTATTTTATGGTGAACAGTTGACAAATTGTAGTATCACAGTGATATAGAAATAGATAAAATTCACTACTTCATATTGAAGCGCCGCTGGTGTAGTGGTATCATGCAAGATTCCCATTCTTGCGACCCGGGTTCGATTCCCGGGCGGCGCAATTTTTTGGCACCTTTTACACTCTTTAAAAATTGAAACACTAATAAAGAAAGGATAAGATTTATTTTCTTTTCATGTAGATATTTTGTTTTCCTTGAATGCACCAAGCAGTTAATATGTATATGTATGTTTGATTTCCAACTTATTTATTTAGCTAGGTTAATTGCACTTTCGTTGGTTTTAGCCAAAGCATCATATTATTAATTTTATTGGCTAAATGCATGCTTTCCTTTGAAAAGGAACTGAACAAGATGATTTTTTCTAGTATTCTATCCTGATTTTGGCTTTTTACATCAAATTTAGAAAGAAATTTTGCCTGATGAACATATACTACATTAAGCGAACGATGCGTCAAAGCCCCTATAGCTCAGTGGTTAGAGCACTGGTCTCGTAAACCAGGGGTCGTGAGTTCGACTCTCACTGGGGGCAGATTTTGCCACCTTTTTACGCAAAACCCCTTGCTTCTTACCAATTTTTGCTCCTATTGCAAGTAACAGTTTTCTCGATTTAATTACAGGTCTGTTGCAAGAATGTTAGATGCATATGACAAGTTTATCTATTTTATGGTGAACAGTTGACAAATTGTAGTATCACAGTGATATAGAAATAGATAAAATTCACTAATTCATATTGAAGCGCCGCTGGTGTAGTGGTATCATGCAAGATTCCCATTCTTGCGACCCGGGTTCGATTCCCGGGCGGCGCAATTTTTTGGCACCTTTTATACTCTTTAAAAATTGAAACACTAATAAAGAAAGGATAAGATTTATTTTCTTTTCATGTAGATATTTTGTTTTCCTTGAATGCACCAAGCAGTTAATATGTATATGTATGTTTGATTTCCAACTTATTTATTTAGCTAGGTTGCACTTTCGTTGGTTTTAGCCAAAGCATCATATTATTAATTTTATTGGCTAAATGCATGCTTTCCTTTGAAAAGGAACTGAACAAGATGATTTTTTCTAGTATTCTATCCTGATTTTGGCTTTTTACATCAAATTTAGAAAGAAATCTTGCCTGATGAACATATACTACATTAAGCGAACGATGCGTCAAAGCCCCTATAGCTCAGTGGTTAGAGCACTGGTCTCGTAAACCAGGGGTCGTGAGTTCGACTCTCACTGGGGGCAGATTTTGCCACCTTTTTACGCAAAACCCCTTGCTTCTTACCAATTTTTGCTCCTATTGCAAGTAACAGTTTTCTCGATTTAATTACAGGTCTGTTGCAAGAATGTTAGATGCATATGACAAGTTTATCTATTTTATGGTGAACAGTTGACAAATTGTAGTATCACAGTGATATAGAAATAGATAAAATTCACTATTTCATATTGAAGCGCCGCTGGTGTAGTGGTATCATGCAAGATTCCCATTCTTGCGACCCGGGTTCGATTCCCGGGCGGCGCAAATTTTTGGCACCTTTTATTCTCTTTAAAAATTGAAACACTAATAAAGAAAGGATAAGATTTATTTTCTTTTCATGTAGATATTTTGTTTTCCTTGAATGCACCAAGCAGTTAATATGTATATGTATGTTTGATTTCCAACTTATTTATTTAGCTAGGTTAATTGCACTTTCGTTGGTTTTAGCCAAAGCATCATATTATTAATTTTATTGGCTAAATGCATGCTTTCCTTTGAAAAGGAACTGAACAAGATGATTTTTTCTAGTATTCTATCCTGATTTTGGCTTTTTACATCAAATTTAGAAAGAAATTTTGTCTGATGAACATATACTACATTAAGCGAACGATGCGTCAAAGCCCCTATAGCTCAGTGGTTAGAGCACTGGTCTCGTAAACCAGGGGTCGTGAGTTCGACTCTCACTGGGGGCAGATTTTGCCAACTTTTTACGCAAAACCCCTTGCTTCTTACCAATTTTTGCTCCTATTGCAAGTAACAGTTTTCTCGATTTAATTACAGGTCTGTTGCAAGAATGTTAGATGCATATGACAAGTTTATCTATTTTATGGTGAACAGTTGACAAATTGTAGTATCACAGTGATATAGAAATAGATAAAATTCACTACTTCATATTGAAGCGCCGCTGGTGTAGTGGTATCATGCAAGATTCCCATTCTTGCGACCCGGGTTCGATTCCCGGGCGGCGCAAATTTTTGGCACCTTTTATTCTATTTAAAAATTGAAACACTAATAAAGAAAGGATAAGATTTATTTTCTTTTCATGTAGATATTTTGTTTTCCTTGAATGCACCAAGCAGTTAATATGTATATGTATGTTTGATTTCCAACTTATTTATTTAGCTAGGTTAATTGCACTTTCGTTGGTTTTAGCCAAAGCATCATATTATTAATTTTATTGGCTAAATGCATGCTTTCCTTTGAAAAGGAACTGAACAAGATGATTTTTTCTAGTATTCTATCCTGATTTTGGCTTTTTACATCAAATTTAGAAAGAAATTTTGTCTGATGAACATATACTACATTAAGCGAACGATGCGTCAAAGCCCCTATAGCTCAGTGGTTAGAGCACTGGTCTCGTAAACCAGGGGTCGTGAGTTCGACTCTCACTGGGGGAGCAGATTTTGCCACCTTTTTACGCAAAACCCCTTGCTTCTTACCAATTTTTGCTCCTATTGCAAGTAACAGTTTTCTCGATTTAATTACAGGTCTGTTGCAAGAATGTTAGATGCATATGACAAGTTTATCTATTTTATGGTGAACAGTTGACAAATTGTAGTATCACAGTGATATAGAAATAGATAAAATTCACTACTTCATATTGAAGCGCCGCTGGTGTAGTGGTATCATGCAAGATTCCCATTATAACAGGCCATCCGTTGTCGTTGGCCTGTCTTGGACTTCCGGTCTGGCTTCCATGTTGAAAAGACGTGCTTTTGCAAAGATAGCAATCCAGAAGATTTAAAGTGTATAACAAGCCATCCGTTGTCGGTGGCCTGTCTTCAATCAAGATCAGTATATAAGTCAGGTATTTTCTGAACTTTTGAAAGTTTTTTTTTACTTTTTGTTGAACTTGACCGTTTCCCCTTCACCATGCCTGGTGGTGGGGGAAACTGCATGTGGAAAGAACTAACTGGATGTTATAGACAATAAGAAAGTTGGACCCTTAAGTGTTATTGAAGAAGCTGAGAGCTTGTGTGGCGATGGAAACGTTTTGGCCGTCGTTCCACGAAGTGGCAATCTTTACGAAATCACATTGGCAAGCAAGGATGCCTCAGATGAACTAAGTACGGGTCCGTTTGTATTAAGCGGACAAAGGTACAACTGTAAAGCCGTTTATTCTATGGAACGAGTGGTAAGCTTTCTTCATTTACCGGCCTTTATACCAGACGAAGAAATTCGCAAGAAGCTGATAGAGTATGGCGCCGAGTTAAAATCGGAGATAAAACGACGTGTTCATTCAGGAACAGATGTAGCTGATGGCACGAGGTGTGTTGTTGTTAAATTTCCGCCCAACGTTTCAAGCCTTCCATATTCAATGAAATTTGTAGTTGACAATAAACCCGAATATATAAGAGTCAAACATGACCACCAGTCTAAAGTCTGTTCAAAATGTCTGTCATCAGACCCTTTTATGCAGATTATCCGGACAATAAATGCCACCGTTGTGATGAACATGGTCATCTTAGTAAAAATTGTCCTAGTGAGCAATGTGAAAAATGTAACAAGTATCCGAAAAAGTGTAGATGTTCTGAGTCCGATATGAAAAGCTTCAAACGACAAATGGCGGAGAGAGAACAAGAAATGAAAGACTCAATTAAAAACTTTAAATTCGTTAAAGAATTGAATCGCGAAGATGAACATTCTCAGACGAAAAAAACACGTAGAGAAGAGGATAAGTCCATAAATGTTGCAGAACCGTCGGAAAATGCAGAAGAAGTTATAACTGTCGATGTTCACGCGACAGCAAATGATGAAGTTAATATTACTAATGACTCCCATTCACCCCCTAACGAGAATTCCGATTCCAAACAGAAAAATATTGAATTGTGTGAAACCGAAAATGAAGTTCAAATGAGCGATGATCAAGATGACGTCAATGTTAATGATAGAAACGAAAATGTAGGTGATGATCAGATGAAAGTTGGCGACGACGCAGATTATAATGAACTAGAATTAACTGAACAATGTGACAATCTTGTTGATTTATTTGACTCAAAATGTCCCAGCCCCGGGGATTCTAAGTCAGAAAATGGGGGCACCGATGAAAACAAATGTAATGAATCAGAAGTTGTGGGTCAAACAAAAAGTCCCACTTCTCCTGAAGTTGTAACTACTAATGCCATGTTGTCTTCACAAAATAGTGAAGTTGATATGAATGATGAAGAACTAGCAATAGCAATGGTAAAAACTAGTGGTAAACCATATATGAGGCGTAGTCGTTTAAATGTTAGGCCTAATATTCCTTATGACAGGAGGCAGTCTGTTGTTTATGGTGGTACTCAAAACAAACAAAACTAATAACCTTCACGTTCATAGTCTATATTCAGAGAGCACTCATTCTATTCCTGATGGTACAGTGCGTATCCATCAATGCAAATGGTCTTAGAGATGTGAATAAATTTATTAAGTTTTGTTCTTTTTGCTCCGAAAACAGATATGAAGTGGTTGCTGTGCAAGAAACATTTTGGAGTCCCGATTTGATTGAAGATTATAAAAAACACTGGAATGGTATAATCATTTCCTCTTGTTCAGGTACAGACAGACAAGGGGTTGCTTTTCTGGTCAGTGAGAAATATAAAAATTGTGTTACTGAAATTAAAGGGTTTGATGGAAGGTTTATATATATTCAGCTTGAAGTTGACAATAAAACTATTGATTTGGTTAACGTCTATGCTCCAAATATTGTCAACGAAAGAGATATATTTTTTCAGAAAGTTGGTGATAATATTCCAAAGTCGGATGAAATAATTTTATTGGGTGATTTTAATACATCACTTTCCCCTCTAGATAGAGTACGAAAACACATTGAAGATAAAGCATTCAAACGTATTTCTAAATTATTAGATGATTTTAATATTTATGACGTTTGGCGTGCACGGTTTTCGAATTCGCGAGTATTTTCTTGGCGACGTATAATTGAAAATAAGTTAGCTCAAAGCCGTATAGATTTCATATTCATTTCGAAAATGCTTTCTACGTTTGTAAAAAATATTTATTATAAGCATACGGCTTTTAGCGACCATTCGTTTGTAATTCTTAACTTCGGTTGTAGTCAAACAGAACGCGGTCCCGGTGTATGGATTTTCAACAATATGCTGCTAAATGATGAACATTATGTAAATAAAATTAATGATTTGATTTTGAAAGAAAAAGAATGTAGACTATTTGACGAAGCCCCATTAATTTGGATTGATAACCTAAAATATAAAATTAAAAAAGAAACTCAGGTTTATGCTAAAGATAAAAAATATATCGAAAGATCTGAATATTTTAAACTTCAAAATAAATTTGAAAAAATATCAAATCTTGCCGCTAATAATTATAAATATAATGTAAATGAATTTGAAGAAATAAAATTAAAAATTAAAAACTATGAAGAGGAAAAATGTAAAGGAGCAATTTTGAGATCAAAAGCCAGCTAGGCTATTGAAGGTGACAAAAATTCTAAATATTTCTTACAATTAGAAAAACACAGACAAGAAAGTAATTCAATCAAAGAAATTGAAAATGATAATGGTAAATTATTAACAAGTACGCAAGATATTCTTAATGAAATTAAAATTTTTTATGAAAAGCTTTATTCATGTACTAATATAGATGAATCAAAAATGGAGGAAATAGGCGAATTTATTTCTAAAACAGTTCCTGAAGATGATGTTAATACTTGTGACGATGACATAACTTTAGTTGAAATTTTTAAATCCTTAAATGGTATGAATAAAAATAAAAGTCCGGGTAATGACGGACTAACGGTTTCATTTTACTGTAAATTTTTTCATTTGTTTGGCGATATTTTTCAAAAAATATTTAAAATAATATGTGAAGAAAAAATTATGCCGCGTTCAATGAGACTTGGAATGATAACATTAATCTATAAAAAGAAAGGAAAAAGAAATAAAATTTCTAATTATAGGCCTATTTCGCTACTAAATGTAGATTATAAAATTCTTGCAAGAATAATGGCTAACAGATTAAAATCAGTATTGCCTAAAATTATTTCTTCAAATCAGACTTGTTGCATTTTAGGAAGCGACATCGCAGATACTACAGCTAGTCTGAGAGACATTATAAAATTAATAGAAGAAGACAATCTCGAAGCACATTAATTAAAATTGACCAGGAAAAAGCTTTCGATAGAGTTGATCATAAATATTTATTTCATATTTTGGAAAAATTTGGTTTCGGGCCACAGTTTATTCAATGGATTAAAATATTTTACACTGGTATAAGAAGTACAATAAAAGTCAATGGCTTTTTAACTAATTATGTGCCTATTCATAATAGTTTAAGGCAAGGCTGTCCAATTTCTGCGTTGTGCTACGTAATAGCTGCGGAACCATCATTACAAGCAATTTTAAAAAATAAAAATAAATATCGTTCAAATAAAAGATACTTGTTACGAATTTATTCCCGGATTTTTATCAAAAGATTCTATCGTTGAATTGGTACAAGAAAAACATCCAGAATTACAAAGTCGGATTATAGCTGAAGCGTACGCCAAAATTTTAAATGCTATTCCTAAACTATGGAAAAACGATTTAAACGCAATTAATCCTGTCAACGTAGACAGGCTTCCCTCCTTGACAGTCGGAACTAAAATGATAGAATTTTCAAAAGTTACTACCAAAATTTTTTATAAGCTCCTCCTACAAAAGTTTTCTGAATCGCCAACGTCGGAACATTTCTGGACTCAACATTATCCTTCAATGTGTTTTAAATCTCTGTATTTGGTTGTCAATCAATGTCATCTTCCACCCGAATGTGTCAGTTTTAATTATAGGGTGGTGACAAATACTATATTTACACTCAGTAAACTGTGTCGAATAGGTAAACATGATAACAGCACGTACTTGTCATGTAGAGCAGCTCCAGAAGAAATGTTTCATCTATGGGCAAATTGCCCCTCGCTTGTCAATTTCAAATCGTATGTAATTGACATTCTACACAATGTACTTTTAAAAAGATACACTTAATCCAATTCTGGATTACACACAATTAATATTACATGGGTATCTCAAGAATACAAAAGAAATAAATACATATTTTGTGAACTTTTTGCTCAGTGTAGCAAGGATATCTATATATAAATCTCGTCAAGTAAAAGTATTTGATGACAAAGACATTGATATAAAAAGGTTATTTATTTTCACCATGAAAAAGTATGTACTGTATGCATTTACATATTACATCACGAACAACAGATTGCCTCTTTTCGAGAAATATTATGTTAATAAAAACCCACTTATGCGATATGACCAAAAAAGTTTTCAACTTCTTATATAAGAAGGACTGACTATGTTATATGGTGAAATATTATTTCTTATTTCTTTTTACTGTGGACTTTCATTGTTCTAAAAATAAAGAACGAGTTACCTCGCCTTAGACGGCAAAATGACA